GTAAAGCGCCAGGATTTCAACGTCCTCCGATTTGGAAGCCAAAAGGTACATATACTTCTCGCAGTCCATGCATCATATTGTCTTCAAAAGGAAAGGATCCCAAATAACCGGAGGGATCTTCATACTATCGTATCATATGCTCGCTGTTCTCTACAAGCTTTTCACAACGATGACCCTACTGTGCATAGCAAAAACCTTGGATGAGTTCCAACCAGTTGGGCGAGCAAGATTTCCAGCGATATTCTGCTGCATGGACCACAACGTACCGTGTCTTGGGTCACACAAGTCTGTAGTGAATACCTTCTCCCCTTGTCCCAACTTTCGTCGACTACAAAAAAAAAGCGTATCAAGGAATAAACCCGTTCTTCATGGCAACTCTAGCTGATTGCTATAGGAACTGCACCATGCAAATACGCCTAAAAGAGTAGGAAAAATGAGAGGACTATTCACAAATCGGAAAACCCATTTCTTGAGAAATCTATGGTGCTATGGTGAACAAATCGAAAAGGCAGATTCGCGTATTACAAAGACCATGTCGTAAGTGTCCCTTGAGAGTTCAGCAAACATGGAGAATAACATGATGGCGGAATTACACAGAAGAAGGAGAGGAGCATCGGCAGCAACCAAGCTTCTCAAAGAAGCCAGCGACCAACTAAAGGATCCGAAACTTCGCGCTCACCTTTTCAATTTAAGGGTTCTAGCAGTCAACGATACTTTTCCATTGCGTCAAGAATTCTGCGCACCACCCAGATTCAGATGCTCGAAGTGTATCTTATTTTCGAGACCGGGAAAATAGAGACTGATAGTGAAACATAGATGGGCCGGTCATACAATGACAAACGTGGACGAGCGATGGACAAAAAGGACTGCAGAGTGGATTCCACAAGGATGCAACATTCTTCTAGGACGACTAGCGACCCGATGGACGGACATGTTTACTACTAGAATCAATCAGTTGCATTCGCACTTTCAAAACTTCTACAGACCATGGTATGGTACTCACACGCATCACCATACTCGAAGACAGTCACCAGCGTAGACAACGATCGCAACACAAAGAAGGGAATAAAAGATGCGCTCAAGTCTGTCCTACTCGTCAGGACAGACCATCAAGTATCCAGAAAGGTAGCAACGAACAAACTACTGCACAGAAATGTTTATTCCAATAAGTTTTTACTTCTTAGGTACCAATAACACCAGTACTAAATCATCCCAAATTGGCACTAGAACTTATAAGTGGCAGCGGTGGCAACAACAAAGACTTAATCTCATGTTCTGTAATTGAAGTGCAAGAAATAAAAACATGTGTTCACGACACAACGAAGCTACCAGCGAATTATGCTCCCTGTGCTACTTTAACCCTTACGCGATGGCATGATTTCTATAAGAGTCAAACGATGCAAAAATAATAGCCACATTCAGACCTAAATCAGCTAGTTTCAGTTCATAGTAGTTTTCATCGATTCCGACAGAAAAGACTAGAATCTGAAAACCTTGTTCCTAGAGATTAAAAGTTCACTTGCTTTATCGCGATGAAACCCTGATTTTCTGGAGCCCATGAGGCCCATTTCGTTCACTTTTTTCCCTCAAGGCTCATAGTTCAGAGATGAAAACACATGAGCCAACGTGATTTTGTCTAGCTGGACCGCATGGTGCTCTCCGATGCGTCGTTCATGTTTGGAGCTACCGCTCTTGCGTTGGAAAGTCCACAACAAATGCCATTTTGCCTTTTGAAGATCCTAATTTCAATTGCATTTAAATTTCAAAAGACACTGTTTCAAAATTATACAAAGTGTATAAAACTATGAAGTTCGAAAAACCTGATATACTTTATTGATCGAGAAATTATCTCCAGTTGTTAAAAAACCTGCTACGCCTCGAAAGGGAGTAAGCAACACGATAAATTCGAAGAAAAAACCTTATCACTTTTTTAGGCTTCTATAAAACATTAAAAAAGGATAAAGCTCTCGGCGCTGATCAATCCTTGAAGGAGGCGCCATGCAATCGACTTCATTAAGCATCGTTTGGAGGTGATTAGATGCATATCTAGCCTTTACAATGACTGGCGGCGGCCTACCCATGTATCCAACCAGTGCTGCTATCCACTCAAACAAGTCTGGCACCAATTTGCGGACCCCGGAGGGATGGAAGGTTTGGTGAGCCACGGGCGCGAGGATCGATTCCACGTGTGTTGCAGGGCGCCTCCGACCACCACGTCACACGTGCCCTTATAAAACATTGGTTTGCCGAAATTACATATGGAAAAGAAAGTAAAGATTCACTCCACACTTTGGTTCATGTGTGAAACTAAGCGGTGGGACGAACGATACAAAAGGTATGATGCGAAGAACAAACAAGTGAAAAAGAAATGAGTACACCCATTCCTAATTGGACAGCCCACCTTGATAACTGACCCCAGGACCACAATGGCGTTGGAGATATGAGCGAAGGCTCGAGACCCAACTGAGGTTCGAAGTCCTGCCCATATATTAGCACGTTGTGGTTGTCTTTCACATCACGCCGTGCCATGAAACAATACAGGCAGTAGGTAAAAGTAAAACACTGACGAGACAGAGCTGGCAGTACGAAGACAGAGGTCCAGGTAAGACAAATGAGGATGGATCGATGAGCGCCAATCTCCTCAACCGCCTCAACCTGGACACGGTAGCCGGTCCTTTAAACCCATCTCTCCAAGGGGCGCGCTCTTCTGGTATTCGACAGTCCTTCCCTAGTGAGGGGAGGTCGTGATGTCGAAGGTGGTTCTATAGTAGGTATATGCTCGCAGTAAGCATCAGCTGAAGATTCTAAGGTTATGAATGTTCAGAGCCAGTAATTTCCCCATCTGCATGACTAAACATGCGTGCTCGCTTTATCGCTCAGATCTGTTTGCTTTTCAGCTAAACTAACCTTTACGTTCATTATAAGATGTTCATGAAATGTGTCTGTACATTCTACAGTAGGTCCTTCTCGTTTTACCACTAGCATTGTCACTACATCTGACGCTGCCGTTTCGCGTGGCTCTCCGAATGCAACACGAGCCATTTTTCGTCGCCTTGCTTTTTGACGGTAAAAAATAGTTTTTCACTAATCAGAGTGCTTTAGGGCCATTGATTGAGTATACTTAGTGCGATGAAAGAATCTGGAACCCAATGAGATGAAAATGGATGCCATAGTGCCCACATCGTCCCCTGGTCTAGATGCCTACGGACACCCCTTGTGGCCACGCCGGGCGTTATGGGTTAAACTTTCAAGAGTCGCCTTTCAGTATTGTAAACTAATTTCCATCGATAGAGCTAGCTGAGAGACAGGCGAAACGAGGAACCCGCATGGTGTGGTGGTGAACACGTTAGCCCCCGGAAAGGGTAATAGCGCGTTCGTTCCTCACCGCAGACACCTGCAGTCCGCAGTTTTGCAAATATTTCGGCAAACGTTGTGATTGTATTTCGCTTAATACTTTGCCGTAAAAACTGTAGTAGGCAGAAAATAAAAGAGAGTGAAACATTGTGATTTCAAACCTCAGCTTAACTGGGTCAAATGCCGATGTGGGCTCCCCAGATCAATCCCGTTAACGGGTGATTGTTGTTGGCACGGATCGATAGAACTAGATGAGAGACATGCAAAGCGAAGGACTCGCATTCTGTGGTGGTGAACACGTCAGCCTAGGAAAGGGTAATAGCGTATTTGTTCCCCACCGCAGTCACCTGCGATCCGAAGTTTTAAAAATATCTCAGCAAACATTGTGGTTTTATTTTGCAACTCTTCATTAGATCAGCTGTTTTTTTGTTGAGAATTCTGGAGAAGCCAAGTTTATCTTCTTTTTCAAATGTTGGTGTGCTTTGTAGTGGCGTTAGAGCAACGTGAATCTATAACCCGGGAAGGTGTATTGAATGAGACGACCTGTCGATAGCCTTACCAAATACCTCATTTTTCTGCAGAGCTCGGGAGTGTTTTATTGGCAACTGATAACTAATAAATATTTCTGATTAGTTAGCGATGTCGTCCTTCTCCACAACAGGGAACGGAAGGCGATGATTGGAAATGAACGTAGCACGGAGGAAATATGGAATGAGTGTTGGTTCGAAGAGTGTGCACTTCATGCCGTCCGAAATATGCGATTATTTGGCGTCGCAGCTGAACTTCTGGCTCAAAAGAAACTTCTTCGTACGTAGACCTGGGAGGATTGATAGTGACTTCAAAGTGAAGCAATCACAAGTTGGAGGAGGATCACGTGGATTTGGTTGACCTAGGAAGGCCGTAGAGCCAGCCATTCGGTGGTATTCCACCTACTAATGCAATGAATACGCCGTTACCTCTAGGTCATAACAGAATTTTCAGTTACGATTCTACTGGGTTACAATTAAAAAGGACTTCAATTGTAGTCCGTGGCATTGGAACTGAACCAATCATAACACTGACAGCACTAGAAATTCCTTAAGGATCAACTGCAAGAAAATACTCCTCGTTATGTACTCTTAACTAACACCCCACATTCTTCACTTGCTCATATTTGGCACTTTCGTTCTTTTTATTGACAATAAACCAGTATGGGAGAGTGAGGACAATTGATCTTGGTTGGCCTCGGCCGTCATAAGTCAATGACGGAAACTGGCCTAGAATTCTCGGTCTTGCACTTTTTTGGGTTCACACTTTCAACCCATGCACCCTGGCGCCGGGCAAACTGTGTCTTGCATTCATTTGGGCTCACGGAATCTGATGCACGCTCGTCTAGAAGTCTGTCCAACATCAAGGAAAAGTTAATGTCACAGAATTTTGAGCCGTAGATATAAAGGCTTCTTGGTGTCGTGTGACGTTCTGACACTTCTCACGTTTTTTCATACCTGATCTGTTTTACTATCGATCCGTAGAGACTTCATCTATATTTTGCCAGGAGTCTCGCCGACTGCAAGGAATCAGATGCAGTTGTGAGAAAGGCTATGATTCACACGTCCGAGCAGTGTTTGTTTTACCCATCTGAATACGATTTGGGTGGCTTTCCAAGTTCACAGCGCGTCTCGTTGCCATTCGGGTCGTCCCGCTGGTTTTTGTGGTTGTAACGGTGTTCCTTGAGAATTCAAACCTACCTGAAGATCTTCGACTGGGCCGAAGACGTCTGAGTGGCTCGCTCGAGGTGCCCGAAAATGCGATCGCACTCGAAGGCATCGATTCCCATGCGTGCATGCCGGAGTCAGCCTGCATCCACCGCCGCCCACGTCGATAAATCCACTGCACTCACCTCCTTGCGCCATCATTTCTTTTTCGTCACCAAATCTCCAGTCCTGGATCATTTCTTAAATCTCGTTTATCGATTTCTTGTTCCATATGAGCGTTTCTTCCACTTTATTTCTTAACTGTCTTCAGTTCTTCGTAGGTATTTAGCTTTGGGAAGATCTTAGTTTTTCCTTCAACGGTCTATCCACTCCAGATATGCAAACTATCGAGAAAGCTTTGCATCAGCCGATGCCGTTCACCACAGGCGGTCAAACCATATCCGACAGGTGGGTAACTTATCTGTAGAAGTTTCATTATTCCTTTTGTTTACGTCTTAAAGTATTTTTTGTTGTGGAATTGATGGTAAGATGGATTTGATTTAAACTTTTATTTTATGCATTAAGTATAGGTTAACGGCAGCTAAGCATTCACTCGCTGGAAGTCAACTTGGAAAAACCATATGTAAGGCAACAACTGAGGAATTGATGGCTCCCAAAAAGAAGCATCTTGACTGTGAGTGCTAAGTTATCCCGTTTTCTTCAGTAGTATTTGTCACCAGGAAGAATTTCATAACTTGTATGATGTTTTTGGGAACATTGCGGAGTTCATGTAGCTGTTGTGTTGTGGGAGAGATCGATCTGTCACTGTCATTTCTGCGCATTCCAGACTTGTTGCATTGTACGAACGAGCCGAATGTGTCGATCCCATCAATGGCAAATCTTTTGATAGAAAGAACCCAGCATCCCAATTGGACTGTCGTTTACAAGGCTCTGATAACAATTCACAATATCATGTGCTATGGCAATGAGGTAACAGCTGTCCTACTGTTCAGTTTTTCTTCGTGTTACATTTGCCTATTGTTTTTAGAGGTTTTCACAGTACTTGGCATCATGCAATACCACTTTTAATCTTGGGAATTTCCTTGACAAGAACAGTACGTCAGGTAAACCAAAGGCCTTGTTATTCTTTAATATGATTGATTGTTATTGTGTTGTAATACTTTATATTCTTTTTGAGAAAACACATGTTATTTTATTTGTTTATTTACGAGTAAACTGACGTTTTGGTTGGCCCACAGCTGGGCAGGGTGCGGTCAACTTGACCATTCCAGGCTCCGAGGAAGGCAAAATCCGCTGAACACCTCGTGTTTGCTCAATAAGAATATAAAGAATTGTCCGATCAATGCCGAGGTTAAAAGAAAGTCGGTTGTGGGAATTGTATTATGATAATTTATCCTTATAACATAATGCGATCTCTGTCGGTGTGAAATTTCTACTGCAACAAAATTGTTCTTTGCAACACAGCTCTTGTTAAATGTCCTCAAATGCTGGCACTTGTATAGATTAAGACATAGTACTCTTCTGGTACTCTTGCCCTATATCGTTTATGTTTTAAGCAGGTAGTCACGCCGAAAAGTTCTGTAGTCGGTTCCTGTGTACGTCATTATTTTCTAGTTTGTGTTAATTGCAGGATATGACATGTCCCAGCACGTACGTAAGTACGGAAAGTATATTGGAGAGAAGATAGCCACGTACCGAGTGTGCGCTTTCGACTTCTGCAAGGTGAAACGCGGCAGGGAGGATGGGCTTCTACGCACTATGCACACAGATAAGGTAACGATGCTGTTTAGTGAAGTCGATTTCTTTCCTGTTAGGATTTCCAAGCCCGTTAATGACAAGGCTATATGATACGTCCTTTGACCACAGATCAGTCATAGTAAACACGGAAGACAGGCCATACCCTTGCGGTGACGTAGAGCCTTCAAACGTAGAAGGTCCCTTATACCGTGCTCCTTATCGTAGCGGTTTGACCTATTCCTTCAGTATTCGTCAACTAACCACTCATCAAGGTGGTATTCACGTAATCGTATACATGTATACGTTTGTGTAAGTAGTTATAGAATGTGCCTTACAGAGCAGTTTTGTCAGGAGCGTGTAATAAGGTGATAGAGTCTTATATGACGCGTAATTTAGGGTTAAAAAGGATAAAACTCTCGGCGTTGGTCAATCCCTTAGAGATGCGCCATGCATTCAACTTCATTAGGCATCGTTGGAGGTGATTGAGTACATATCAGGCCTTTACAATGACTCGCGGTGGTCGATTGAGCCAGTGCTGGTATACTCCCAGACAAGTTTGGTACCAATTTGCCTGACCCTGGAAGGAGGAAAACTTGGTGGACCTGGGCGCGGGGTCGATCTCGTATGTTTTTTCAGGATGCCTTCGACCACTGCGCTAAACGCGTGGTTTAGGGTTGACTCCATGAAATGTGCGTGTCTATTCATAGCAAACTATCAAACCAAAAGGGTTAGACACTAGCGGACGATTTATTGTCAAAAAAGTGTAATGGTATCCTCGTCGTTCGAGTTAACAGAATGCATTGAACATGTCCGGTCTAGAGACATCTAGAAACCTCATTGCTGCTTGCCCGATTCACTCGACCCTTAACAGGAGTACGGGTAGCACAAGTGGTTTTAAGTTAACATGAAACAGTTATTGGTTAGCATGGTACTATTTTTATGATATATAAATTCTCTTTATCTTTCAGCTCCTTAAAACGCTACCAATTCTACAGAATCAAATTGATGCCCTACTCGAGTTTCAGGTGGATTTCATCGTTTCGCTTTAAACTTTATGAATCCTTTTCGCATTTCATGATTTATCTACATTTTGCGATTTTTTTCTCTAAAGTAGCATTGTTGTATTTACGAAGTTTTCATCTTGAGGGCATGTGTTGTAGCAAAACATGCCGTCAGTTATTTATAGGCAAAAGTATTATATCCGATTGAAAGTAATTTTCCACAAACAAAGGGTCGATTCGACATTGTCCATGAAAAGAGCGAATTATTGTTTAAATCTAGTTTTCAATATGAACATAACGCTAAGTGGAAGAGGATAGTCAGTTCCTATACAAAGTTTCTTCCTTGATGTTCCGGTCTTTTGACAGATTAAACATTGAAAGGCATGGAACTAAAACCTTATGGTTTCAGGTGTCTGCGAACGAACTTAATAATGGTGTCATCAACTGTTCGTTTATTCTTCTGTTTCGTGACCTCATTCGTCTCTTCGCTTGCTACAATGACGGAATCATAAACTTACTAGAAAAGTACTTCGATATGAACAAAAAACAGTGTCGCGATGCGCTTGATACGTATAAAGGGTTCTTGGTTAGTCAGCCAACGCATTTTGTTCATGGGAACCATTTTTCTTCCCATTCTTACTATTCCGCTTTCATTACAATGTCAGATGCTTTTTCCTACTACTTATGCAAATTATAACCATAATGATGCTGAGATATTTGCAAAACTCCGGACCGCAAATGTCTGTGGCGGGGAGTGAACGCGCTATTATAGTTTCCTGGAGCTAACGCGTTCACTACCACACCGTACGGGTTCTTCGCTTCGCCTATCTCTCAGCTAGTTTTCAGTAGACCAGTGCCATTAGCAATCATTCGTCAACGGGATTGATTTGGGGAGCGCGTATCGGCGTTGAACTCAAATATATCTGCATCATTATGGTTGTATTTCACTCACGAAATATCCTGCCGTGAATAACTGTAATAGGCAGTAAATGAAAAAGAGTAAACAACGTAAGTTATAGTTTTTAAGAATATATAAGTTAAGTGCGGTGGTGAGTAGTTAGGAAATGCCGGTTGCCCCAGAGATAAGTGTTTCCTTAACGTTTTTATCCAATCGCTCCTTCACATTGTTTGTAGTCTGGTGGTTAATCACCAAAAAATTAAGCATATATTTTAGACACGTTTGGATAAGGTGTCCGAATTTCTACGCGTGGCTGAATCAGTTGGTATAGATCGAGGAGAAATCCCTGATCTAACTAGGGCACCGGCGAGTCTATTGGAAGCACTGGAAGCTCACCTTACTCATTTGGAGGGTGGCCGAGCTCCTTCAGTTGGTGTTCATGACCAGGTAGTACCTGTATTTATTAGCTGCGTTAAAGGCTGAAGATCTGATTTTTTTCTGTTAATATTTTCATAAATGCTTGTTGGATTGCAGTATCCATCCTACCAAGCACAAGTAGCTAATTTTTCAATGGTCGGTGGATTTCAAATGCATCCACATGTGGGGGACGCCGAACGTAACAGATATATAGAATTGGAGAAAGAGAGGCTACGTCAGTTTGAGGAACAGAAACGTCAACAGAAATCACTTGGCAAGTTCACTCTGTCTTTGTTATTGTGACCGTATCTTGTCATGTGTAGGCCGGTCCTTATTGAATAATACTTGCACATAATGGAGATAAATCAGGTGCTTCATCGATGGCAACTACCTCGAATTTCAATCCGTTTGCTGCGGAAGCACTCGCTAATCAAGCAAAAAAGCCAAACGATGATCTTTTAGATTTGTTCAACACGCCGGCACAGGTGAATCACAAGATTCATTACAAAAGGGAGAGTTCTACCAATTAGTTTGTTTGGAGTAGGACTTAGTTGGGTGAATAGCGTGGTCGCTTCCATACCCTTTGACAAAATTTCCAGTAGAAGTTTAACCCACATATCTGTTACTGTAATGCACACGGTTGCCATTTAGCCTCCAGCGCAGCCTCAAATGGATGCGACAAATCCATTCGCTCAATTTAGTGCACCAAATAGCTCGAGTCAAGCGCCTACAAACGTTTACCCTTCAGTCGGAGCAGGTAGACTTTTTCGTTCTGTGCCCCTTCTTTAGGTTTCATAGAGCTTTTCGGAAAAGTTGTATTATATAGTTCTTCGGGGTTTTTTTGTCGAAATTTTGATGAAGTGCAGCATTATCGTTTGGACTGTGCTTCTCCGTAAATACGTTCGGAACGAACATCTGGTATGTAGCGCACAACGTTTGAAATGTGTTGAGTACAATGTATTTAGAGGGAAAATAGTGGCCGCTTTCAAATTAACTCAACATATTTTGTTTAGTAGTTGAGAACTTTGTCAATAGCCGGAATGTGCAGTTCTTTGCTAAATACAAAATCTCATGCTCTACAGAAGAAATTTTTGTTCTCTGAAAGCCCCAAGATGTATTTTTTCGCCATTTTATGTAAAACATTGAATCTCAGAGAAGAAAACAGTTGAAAAAGCGCGATAATGTCCCATAGTGGTTCAACGGTTTTTGTGGCTACTGCGCTCACTTTGGAAATCTAAAATTTTGAATTTTGTTGCCAGTTTTTTGAAAAGTTTAACTCTAGTCGATTAAGATGATAAATGAAAATTTCTTTGTTGAATCGAATTTCGGGGTTGAACGCGAAGTTAAATGTTGAAATTTTTCTAGTGATCAAGAAATTGTCTTCATTTGCCGAAGAGCCAGCTTGGAGCGTTATGTGTTAATGTAATTGAATCTGTACTTCATTTGTGACAAAGCTGTTTTCATGCTGTGATCTGCACGTTGTTTGGTTGCTTAGTAAACGAAGGATATTGTTCTATGTACATAGGAATGCGTGATATAGTTTCTTCGTGCAAATTTTTTCGGATTGTGCTTTTCTATCTAGGTAATATCTGGTCTTAGGTTCGTTCAAGGAGGACCTTTTCTACTTTGTAGGACCGGGGAGATTCGAGTGCTTGACATGTCGCATGTTGTGGAAATGTTGCATGTTTAGTGGTCGTAATTTTATAGCTGTGGCACCATCGGTGGGATCTTCTGCTGGAGTCTCGGAAGTCAACGGGCATTTGAATGGTTTCCAGGCTGATTTCGTTGGTGCGTTTTCTGCAAGAAAAGTCGGCGACGCTAACGGAGGTAGTGTTGAACGCATAGTCTTGTCAAGTTTGGTCATTCGTGATTTTTGCGAGAACCAGACATTACCTGTGTTCTTAAATGTCATGCTGAATGACTTATATATTGTGCTCGTTCATGCTTTCCATATGTTTTTTGTGTTGAGTTTCTGTACCAGTGTTCACCGGAGAAGAAGTTCAGTATGTTCAAAGCAGTGCAAAGGGCATTAATTCTGAAGGCAATGCTCTAATTTGACCAGAGTGCATGAGCACACGAAAATATTGACCTGTCTGTAAGCCACCGTTCTGGAGAAGCCGGATTTGTTGTCTCATCGATCTCGTGAAAGAAGTGTTAGTGCGTTTCAGCGGTGTTGACCAGCTCGTTAACAGAATCTCCAGTTCTTAATTGTAATACCTGGTTATTAGAAAATTTGTACTGTTTCAATAACTGTTTCGTTCGAGCATCAAATCTCTTTTCCACCAAAGAAGGTCTATAATCTGGGGCTGTGCTAATCTCTGTTTTCTGTTTAACTTCTTACCATTAGTTTTTTAATGGCTGGGTGCTGCAAAATAAGTTTGAGATATCGGTGTGAGTGATGCCAATCCGTTCCTTACTGGTGTACAACAACAAGAGCCACCACCACCTGCGTCGATGTGGAAGCCCGAGGTCGATCCGAATACTGCACCAGTTGGTGTTCCTGAAACAGAAGAAAGTCAGTGTAGTTCACTTATTTTTCGTACTTTGTGTTACGTCAATGATTACTAGTTTCAGCGTTATATAGTACAGGAGTGGCGTCGCAGCATACGGATCTAACTAGATTTCCGTCCGCTAACTCTTCTAGTACTGATTTCACTTGAGAAAAAGCTTCTATGAGTTTTCGAAAATTGAAATTTGCAGCAAATGATTCACCTATTTCTCTCCAAATCCAGCAACCGCAAATGTCCCAAAATGTTTTAACAGACACAACTCAAATTCAGTCTTCTCAGCCGAAAGGAATCTATGAGCAAACTCCTTTCTGTAGGTTTTATTCCAGTAACGCATCCAACTCCCCAGGTATATAGAGCTGCATATTGTTAAAGGAACAAATGAATGCTATCAAGGAAACGCTATTTGGAAGGAATGGTACAATTGGGCATAGTGAAAATCATGCACCATATTTCATATACGCTTTTTACCTTATTTCGAGTTGATCTGAAGGGATATTTCCGGTGTTGGTTAATATCCTTAATTGACTTCCTCAAATCTAGAGTCTTTGACTAGGGCTGAGAGAAACGCAAAGCAGGGACCTCAGTGGTGCAGTGTGTAATACGCGAACCCCCGGAAAAAGTAATCGTGGTTCGATCTGGCCCGGGATCCAAGTTTTGCGAATATCTCAGCATCGTTATGGTTGTGTTTAGGGTTTTTTTTTGAATTTTACAAGATTGCCTTGATGTCTTTCGTCTAGAATGCCACGGTACAAGAAGTTATTGTGTTTTCTTTTCTCTTGGGTAAATTGCTTCAATATCGAATCTAATCAATTTTTCCCTAAAAATCTATAGAGTATTCCATTTTTCCCATTTGGACCTAATCCAATCTGTTTAGTTTACCGCATATAGTTTTCTCACATCCGTTCATTAGTGAGGTCTTCCGCACCTACCTCTTCTGTACCTCAACACGATATTTCACTTTCCAAGGCTGGCAGTTCCGCAGCTCTTTTGTTTTCATTAGTGTTTTTGCAGTCGCATTGATCTCAGAAGGTTATGATTTCCAGCTCGTACTGACGGAAGCTATTCTGATCGAGCACATTTCCCGGTTGGTATGGTGCAGTCTACCAATCCCATGCAAAATAGCAATGAGCAGTCGTCGGCGCATCAAAGTACGCAAATCGCTAAATGACGTTGAGATGCGCTTTTATCGGTTTTCTAATGTCATTCAGATAGTCAACCACAGTTGGCGTATAGCGGTCTATTTTATCCATTGTTTCAGGCTACCCTTATCAGCAAGGTGCGCTATAAATATGACAAATGGTATTTTTGTAGTGATGTATTTTCGGTATTTCTTCACGTTGTGCTGTTGTCTGTCATTCAGCTGACGTTTTAGAACCATAGTGGTGTCCTGTGCTGTCTTCTTCTCATTGCTTCATGTTAATAGACTTGTTTCAGGTTCTTTTGATCCATTTGGTGTTCAACAAGGGCAATCCAAAATAGGAGGTGACATCGACACTGCGCTATCAAATCTTGCAGACAATCTTTCCATTACCGGAAATGCTCAAGTGTATGGTTTGCCAGATAGTGTTTTCTCTTCTTTGTGTGTAATTAATTGTTTTAATTGTGTCACAAATCGGTGGCATTAACGATTTTTGTATCTGTGGTATATGTGCGATTCTTGAGTTTCTTGCTAATTTCATGGGTATGCTTTAGGCGTCCGGTGCAATGGGGAGGACCACAACAGCAGGGTCAGCCTCAGGTGTCGATGCCGCTCCCTGTGACCGTTCCTGCAGTTGCTCATCCGCAGTTGCAGTCGTATGGGGCGCCAACACAGTATACCACACCTTTTGGACAGTACACTCCACAAGTTTACGGTGGTCACTTACCTCAATGGCAAGTGCAGAATCCCCATGGTGAGTTGACATCCTTATTATAAAATGACCTATTAGTTTAAAGTTACCTGTGAAACTGCTCCGAAAATGTCGCACTTACGCTTATTTCAGTTTATCCCACACCACAGCAATCTCAGGTTGCACCATCCACGTACCCTATGTATGGAGGGACTGCGGTGGGATATGGCCAGCCGACACAACCGCATTCTCAATCAGGACAGGATCCATTTGGATTTTGAGATGAAGTGCTGTGTTCCTAGATCCTTTATTCAAAGAAGTATATTGCTGTGTTATTAAAAATTCCATTAAAAGTTGGGCAGGATTAATTATTTGCTACGTTTTTAACTACCATGTTTGTCTCAGTGTGGTAGTGTGCATGTTAAAGGCTTTAGTGACTGACATTGAAATTCCAGTTTTTATTAGCAAAATGTCCACACTACTGCATTTAAGTTAGCCCTTTCCGTTTGTGTTCTTCGTATATTTAACGCTCCAGATTAAGGCTAATGTGTCCCCATTCTAGATGCACTGGTTAGAGTTTTAAGTATAATGTACAGTACAATTAGAGTTACACATTTTGAAGGCGCTGTGCCTACTTGTTGTTCTCTTTTTTTCCAGAGGAATTTCTTCAGAGTTTTACAGGAACGAACAAGTTACAAGTTTTTAAATTTATGCATTTTTTACATCTGGTTTTTGTTTCATCTTTTTAAGTGTTCTGGGTGCACGTGTCCATCATGGTCCGCTTAGCTTCGCTTTTCTACTTAATGCTATTTATTTATGCTTACGTCTAGTTTCAGATAACATTCAGTGTTTTTTGGTGAATATACCTAAGTTGTGATGGCATAGAAGATGTTTAGTCGTCTTTGTATCTATTTTATCCCTAGAGCTATTTGCGTTTTCTTCTTTTCTGGGCTGTCTTGTCTTGATCTGCCATGTGATTGTGTTTATGGTAGATTATACATACGAACAACCAGTTGTTTTAATAGAAACACCAGTGAACGGATTCTCTGTACTGTCATGTCTTCTCAGTTCGTTTTCAAATTTTCGTATTTCATACTAAACATACTTTTCCCGAAACTTCGATAGTATCCCGATCATAATGGGTCCCGATACTAATGCGAAGGAGGAATTATCACTAACAGTTGATTTGTTTGATTCGTATCGGCTTTTTCTTTGAAAAAGGGATTGGCTGAGGGCACTGATGATGTTGAGGACGTCTGCAGCATGTCACAGACTGTGGAAAGTCCTCCATCCTCTCTCCTTCCCGAATGCCTTGCTACAAAGAATGTGGATCCAACCGGTTGGATTTCGATAATGTTCTTGAAAATTCTGTTATTTGTGATGCAAAAACGTGTCGGACATTGACATTTAGTTGCCGATTACGTTGCGTGGATATGTCTGGGATGATGATGATGAAGGATAGAGAACGTAAGCAATGGCTTCTTTTACTGACATGTTTTTAATAACTCTTGACGCAAATCGTGAACGGAGGAACCGCTGTTGTGTAGGGAAAGCCGTGGAGGTTTTGCTAAATGTGAAGCGTATAACTGTAATCCGCCGTGCAGACGCGTAGGGCAGTGGTCGGAGGCGTCGTGCAACACGTGGGATCGATCCCCGCGCCCCTGGTCAGCCAAGCCCTCCATCCCTCCATAGTCGGCAGATTGCTACCGTACTTGTCTGGGAGGATAGCAGCACTGGCTCAATACATCGGTAAACAACCGCGGGTCATTGCAAACGCCAGATATGCATTCAGTGACCTCCGACGATGCATAGTGAAGTCGAATGCATTTCGCATCCATCAAGGATTGGTCAACGCCGAGAGCTTTATCCCTTTTATTTTTTAAGGTCTCATATTCGGAGAGTAAGGGACAGAGGACATGTCAAGTCCACGGGTTCACATACAATGCTCCGCCGCGGTGGGGCGCGAGATCTCCAGTTCGTGAACACATGTTCCAGCTACAGCTGTTGCGCTGCGCTACTTCAAACGACGGAGGAAGTCATATGCCTTACTCTCCTTCGCCTTACCTTCGTTTTTTTTCTTGTATCTTCCTTGCTTTTCTTAGTATATATGCTTAATTTTCTAATGGATGAGCCCCGTCAATTTTATTACTGGACGCGTTCCCTGCCACCACTAGAAACACAATTGGTAAGAGTGGTAGATTTTGGGATTTCAGGGTACTGAAGAGGGTTTTTTCCTTGTGTATTGTACCTCAAGCCCATTCATGGATCTAACGTTTGACATCCGATCCACAATGTTTGTACACCAGCTCTAGACTAACTCGGACAACAACCCCTTTGAAAGGAGTAACCCTTAAAGTTGTCTTGTAGGCTTTGTGGAAAACTACAGCGAACTTAACTAGGACTTTGAGTAATAATGATTGTTCTCTATGACTACAATGAAGTTAATCGACTACATATATTCAAGCAATTTGTTTGCTACTCTTTGATATTACCTTTTATACGAAACATGTTAGCTAAACTGAGCTTGGTGCGAAGTAAATAAGAGCGGAAATTGGGAACATCTATCAGTAGATGGGTTGGCCTAGTCACCTCGCTGTCTGTCTGCGTTCATCCTTCTTTAGATGTTGAGGTGATTCCAGCTTACACGTTAAATATGCCGTTTTGCTCAAGATCTCTGTTTCTGCTGCTCCTGAATTTCTTCCTTGGATGACCCGTCTTCACTGGTTGTGCAGGCTCCATCTTAATTTCCATTGTTTCGGAGTTTTGCTGGTTTAGCCACTGTGGTTCTCTGGAATCTCGAGGTTAGCCAGGCTTGGCCTGGTCGTCATCACCGCAGGCAGTCGCCGCTTTTCTGGATCAGAGAGAGATTTGCCATCATGGGACTAATTTGATACCGGCACGGTGGTGGATCCCGGTATTGGTTTACTCTCAGCTGAATTTACTGCTTGAAACGCTCTTTTCTGAGATGAAACGGACTCTTTCAGCTTGGGACACCCTGTTGCGGGGACAAATCGTCTGCTGTACATCGCAGCCAGACACCCAAGAACACCTAACAGCCACGATGAGGCAGTAAACCATTGGTAGGGATCTTTTACTTATCCAGGTTTTAGTTGGCATAATCTCTGCATCGTTCCGAATCAATTGGTTCGTTAACTAATCGTAGGAGTTACCTTCTGAACAAAACGTGCAGTACGCACGACTACTAGCAGCTGTATGTGATCAAGGCCTGGAAGTGCACTAGATTCCACTCCAATCAGCAACAAGTTCACGAACGTTGTTCCACCGAATTTTCAACGGCGACGTTGAGCAACCAGGATTCCGGCACGGATTCTACTGCATAAGTCACCGCATTCAAACTCTGCCTAAAGTCCTTCAAAACTGGTGAGTATGTATACGCTCCTTGTTCCTACCTTTATGGACTAGAGAATTCGCAGCGTCGAATCAAATACTATCCCATCGGCTCTCATCGGTCAGCGAGTGGATCTGTTCTGCCCGAACATTCTACTCCATTGCTATCAAAACTGCACCACGAAAACAGCGCGTCTACCGAATTACATTAATCAATCAAGAAATATTCCTATGGGGGATCTGTCAAGGCAACACCATATCGTCAAAGGTGTTTACTGCCTCATTACAGTAGAAATTGAAGTTGCTAATTTAAGACGATGAACACTTTCACGTTGTTGACATATTCCCACCAGATCTTCGTTTTGTTGACCTAACTTCTTCGAAAAGTAGCACAGAATCAGAGACGATGTTCAAAGAGCTGAACTGAACGAGAGAAATAACTGAACTGTATATGCATTCGGAGACCCACGGTTGAAAGAGGGTGGGGGGGGGGGGGTTCATTTTTTCAAAANGAGGGGGGGGGGGGGGGGGGGTTCATATTTTCAAAATAGACAATTTACGCAGTTAGGCCTTCAAGAATTAGCTCATCTTTAAGGTCGAAGAAAGCGCTGATCATTGGATAATAAAGAGGGTTGAAAATAAATGACGAGAAGAATAGTGGATGAACTCTAAGAGGGCGCAAGCGTCTTTCAGGATGGCCACCTCAGTATAAGCGGGCATGTTCGTGGCTGGCATCAATCAGCTGTATTACCAGCTGCAAATATTTTATAGATGACATGATGGCACTTACGTCCTTATAGTCGAAGCAGAACACCACCATAGACGACGTTAACAAGGCAAGAAGCAAAAGAAAATTATAGTGAGACCCACAGGACCCTTGATAACAACATCTATTACGTTAACCTATTCGCAAGCATACTGACTGTTGAACAGCTCTTTTCCGATTTTAAAGCCTCAGTCCCTAGATTTCTACAGTAGTTGAAGAGCTGATAAGTTCACAGATTCATAGAAGAGACGTAGCTTTATCGTTCTCAATGTATGCACACCTTTTGTGAAATTTTTTTCAATTTCAAGTTAATCTGCTATTAAGATTTACTGGAAGTTGGGAACGAAATTTGAATTTTTAAAAAGCTCCAACGAAAACGCAGCGGTTGTTACAACAATCTCACCAAGGAGGAAGCAATGATGTTCTGTCGAACGAAATCTCGCTCGTTCAACTGTTTTCGTGTTCACAATATATGAAGTTTCATATACCGCCCATTACTTTCTCCATGGCAGGGTATCATGTGCAACGCATATTTGCAAAATCCAGATCCTGGGCCAAATTCGAACCCACGTTTACCTTTTCTCTGCGCACGGGTTACCCACTGCACTACTGGGAGCCTGACTTTGCCTTTGTCTCAAGCGGTTTTAACCCTAACATCACATCAGCAGTCATCCGTCAACGGAAATGGTTTGGGAAGCACAAGTTGGCAATGAACGCTGCTAAGCTGAGTCAGCAGCTGAAATCCCGTTGAAGCATGTAGAGAACACTTAACAGGCATATTGGACGACAGTTACGAAGATCCTTTCAGTCACTTTTCCTGGGTAGGACGACCGTACACGGCGTCTTCCGATAGGGTTTTTTCCCTCTGAAGGGAAAATTCATATAAGTCGCAAAAACACATGTAGTTTGCTGCTCCCAGCTCGAAGGGTGTCGACTGCAATATTATTGGATCCTGGAGCTGCACCTCTCTATATGCTCCGACCCTGTCTCGTATTTTAGAGTAAGAAAATTCCCATAGTTTTCTCCAGTGTTGGTTTTCGGTTCAAAGACGGAGACTGTGCAGCGGAAAAGCTTGGTATAAGTCGAAAGACCGACTTTCTATAAACCTCGGCATAGGTAGTTGGTATATTTATTTATGTGATCTTATAAACTGATCTTCTTAAACTGCGAAGTCCTGCACGTAACATCACGGCTCTGAGGAAGGCGAAGTCGCCGAAACGTCAGCCATCGACCAGCAACATCAAAAACAACGACAACGACAACGAAGATCTGTACCAACCTCGCGTCAGCTTAAGAAGATCAGTTTATAAGATCGCATAAATAAATATATCAGCTTGGTATAAGATTCGTTAGTAGTTACATAACATGGTGGAATGAGGCACTGTCCCTATTCTCACCTTTAAGTGTACATAACCATTTGTAGAAAGAGTTCGTGTAGTCGATAGGTTCGCAGAGGTTTTTATAAATGTGTTATTCCGTATCCGTATCATCAGCTGTCGGTATTAGTGAGAAATTAGTGACAATGGATAAGATTTATTCCGACAAGGAGGTGAAAGGCATAAGATGGCAAAGCGGAGAGAGAGTTTTATATGAATCGAAAAGTTTGTTCATCGTTCATTTGTCGGGTAAAACACTTGTTACTCATAGTTTCTTGAAGGGCAGTTACATTTTATTGGGTGTGCTCCGCGGCATCTAGGGGGAACATTAAGAGCTCATCATACTGTTGGCGGTAAATACTTAGAATCATGTCATGGAGGCATCGTTTCCTTTCAGATACAATGATGTCCCTTATTTCTACGCATTTAATGCTAGTATGGTTTTCTCGGAGAATTGAAAACCGCCATGCTTGTGTGTTAACAGTTCTTCATCTCCATCATTCGTAGGTCTCTGTGAATCAAAGGGGCGTTTCTTGTCTTGCGGCTAGGTTTCTTCCAGAAAAGAGTTGATGGCTGTGACAGCAGCGAATTCTTCGGTTGTGAGCAGCGCTCAAAGACGGTTTAAAAACGAGATTCACAGACCTGGGTAATTATACCTTTAGGTATTGGACTTAAATAATAGTATTTCAGAAGCGATTTCGAAAAAATTTTAAAGAAGAGCGTGTCTAAACTTCAAACATCACTAGGTGTATTGCTCTATTTTGCTAAAATTTGGTTTAGTCATTGCTCTGAAGTTCTTCAAGCGGCGTTTGTCATGTTTCTTGTACTAATTCTTATTGTGAACATCTTTACTTTGAATGAACAGCATAGATATTTTACAAACCGATTTTCCTTTAACCTCATAATGACTGGTCAATATGTACTTCTTCATTGATAAGCTAACACGAGGTTGATAAAAACACCTTGTTCGGCTAAGTTTTGGGCGCCTCGTCCTCACCCGAATAAATACTTTTGTCAACCTCGTGTTAACTCATCGATGGAAGAGTGCAAACATAACTAGTTCAGAGTGCTGTTATGTCGGCGTACGTTCAGATTTTTCAATCACATGGCTTGCAGAAATTGTCCGCAAGGTTATCATCAACATATGTGAGTTCACAATTTCATCATCTTCCTTTTTACATTAGAGCTCGTATTCCTACGTTTAGGATTTTCTTAATGTGTTTGCTCAGTCCTTTTTTTAACAGTTGAGCTCACAGTTAGCCGAAATACTTCATAAATGGCCTGGAGGAAGAATTGATCTTACGAGTTCTGATGACATCGCAAGGCTAGTGTTGAATCGACCGGAAAAAAGCAATTGCTTATCAGGAGAGATGATGCTTCACTTTGGAGGAAGAGTGAAGGTGGGAAAATATGTCTTAAGACAAATGGCCTGACGTAAATTGGTTTAAATTAATTTTTTCTATTCCTTTCGGCATACTGTGCTTTTTGCTCCAATTTCTATGTTAATTGATAGCTTTGCAAATGAAACGGTCTCAGCAAGCGTGGTTCGTGAAAAGCTACTTTATGAATTACATAAAAGGTCATTTTTAAGTACGAGTGTGGTCGTCCCCTGCAAGACTGTTGCTATCGAGCAGGGTAGTAAGGTATCTCGACGCGGGTATACAGTGTGGAGCTAACTCAACAACTGCCTCCATGCAGTGCCCATTAGCAAACATTTGTGCTCATATACACCTTCCATATTTCACTTCTTGTCACTGTAATCTGTAACCACCATACGCTTTTAATGGGAATAATGGAGAGGGAAAAACTTAGGTGAACACCTGTGTTAGGTCTCCCTTCTCCTTTGTGTCCACGAGGACGCCGATTGTAGCCTTCGACAAGTAACGGTGTGCATGAGTTTGGGCAAAGAGTCGTATCATCTATCGTGAATATTACTACAGTGTTTCTTAAATCAATCTTCTTGAGTAGCGTTTCGCCGCTCTGATTTTGTTTGGTTTTAAACTGTCCTCTCGTTGGCTTATGTTGTATGGTCTGACTGCGAAACCATTTCTTGTTCTTCTGGTATGCGACATCTGTCTATGCATGTGGCTTCCGTGGTATACTGAGCAGTTCATGAAGACCACCGATTCGGCTACGCCATAATCCTTGGATGCCTCATTATCACCACCCACTGTACAAGTGTTTGTATAACCGCTTCCAATAAATACCTTAAATATCTTGATCCCGCCACTTGAACACTTCTTGTGAGATATACGGAATGTGACTCTACAGCGCTTGAGAACTCATCGACAGACATTTTGCCTAGGTATGCAGACTGTAATGTATTTTCTACTGACAAGTGCTTTCGTTGACAAGATATTGCTCAACAAATTTGAGCTCACTATCTCACCACCTTCGTACAAATACGACAAAATACATTCTTCAGAATTTTGAACACTGAGTCCAGGAAATTCCTTGTACTCGTTGTCTTCCTGTTCCTTTTTCCGTTCGATGAGGAGTCGATTGACGAAGAAGTTCATTTATTCATTTTCTAACATGTTCCTAGGTGTAAACAGAAATTACTGCCATTATTTGTAAAAGACCGAATTTTAGAACGAGAAGCAAGTTGAGCAGAGAGGGCGAAGTTAGCTGATGGGAAGAGGGTAGAGTGACTAGTACGAGTTGAGTTCAATTCACTCTGTACGCGACGAAAAGTTGTGTGTTGGACCACATGCGTCAAGAAATGGCTTATGATATTGGTTTGAGTTTAATTTACGCATGAGAGGTACGATTACCAAGTTTTTAAGGAATTATCAACGTTTTCATCATGTGGTGTACTAGTTTTTGAAGGAGCTGGTCGTTCTTTTTGCAGCGGTGCAGAACTTGGACTGATTGAAAAGGTTAGTATGTTGTACTTTCAAGGCGATCGCACAGGATTGCAATGCTTTTTTTTTATTAAGCGAAAGGGAACACCTCAAATTAAGGAGATATTTTGTTAGGCTCAAGTCGTTTGAATCTACCGGTATTCTTGCAGTGGAGTTCTACTGCACGTTCTTATTCTAATTTCGTGCTGGTGCCACGTATTGTCAGTTGCAAAAAGAAAGAAGATGGCTGGTCGTTCTACAAAATGTTTCCGTCTTCTGAAAGTGATATTCAATGTTATACTCGTTCATGTGGCGCAGTGGTTGGAGGCGCCACTGCGACACAGACGTGGAATCGATTCCCGCGCCCAAGGCCCACCAAGCCTTCTTTCCCTCCGGGGTCGGCAAATTGGTGGCAGACTTGTCTGGGAGGATAGCAGCACTGGCTCGATACATTGGTAGGCCACCGCGAGTCATTGTAAAGGCCAGGTACGCATTCAGTCACCTCCAACGGTAGTTAATGAGGTCGTATACATGGCGCATCCCTCAGGGATTGATCAACGCCGAGAGCTTTTATTTTTTTTATACCTGTTCATCTGTTGTCCACCATTCCCATCCAGTGTCCGATCTTCCTTCTTCCATTCACTATATAATTCTCTTGATCTCCGGGACGGTATTGTGGGAACTCCGTGCTGATTATGTTTTGTAAGGCATTGTTTAAGCGCTTTATGAATGTTGTATGCAATTCGCGACCTAGTTGAGGTGTTAGGACACTTCTCAGGCGCATAAAAGAGTGTTGCGAGGACTGCTGAACCGAAAGTGCAAGTGCCAATGCTTGAGTCCGTCATTTAGTTGGTAGCTTTCTTAGAAGCCCTTTGAACCAAATTTCTGTTTTACTGATGCTTTGCGACGATGACGATATCAAATCGCACGATTGACTTTCTTTTAACCTTAGCATCGATCAATAATTCACTGTTTTTCTTTATGAGAAGACACCAGGTTGTTGTTACAGAATTTATTAATGCACAAGAGCTTACGTTTCGGCGGTTTCGCCTTCTTCAGAGTCAGGAAACTGAAAATGACATGCAACTTACTTAGCCAAACACTCGGGTAACAGGCGTCCAAAAGCGCGTACGTGATGGGAGTTCTTCGATGTTACCGCAGTGTGTACCTACGTGTCGAGTGACTCCGCAATGCAAGCCATCCGCTAGCTGCTTATGCAATGCACACGACCAATAAACATGAGTGGCTTCTCGATTCAGCAGATCATGGCCCTCTTAAAGGAGTGCCTAAACTGCTGAAGCTTCAGATGGTCTGGGATGTAAAGTGAAGGATCGATTGCAGAGTTGTATTCCCGTGTTATTCGTACTATACCAGTCAGCTAGAGTTCTACCATGAGACGGATCTACTCTTTTGTCGATAAGTGCTAATGAAATATCACTCATTTCGACGTTGTTTTTAGTGATGGTGAACACGCTAGCTCCCGGAAAAGGTAATCCCCACCGCAGACACCGGAGGTCCGGAGTTTTGTGGATATCTCAGCAAAATTGTGGTTATATTTCACATAATACCCTACCATTTAAAAAAAGTAGGCAGTAAATAAAAATTGACAACGCTGTTTTTAGTAATTGATGGAAATGCGAACAAGAGGGAGATTGTATTCCTACGAAACTTTGATATTCAGCTAGTGGCTTTGTGTGTGTATGTGTAAGTCGTTGTACTAGCGTCGTATTCCTCACCAAAATCATATTTCGTTAGTCGGCTAGTTGGAGGTCAAAGAACGAAGATTGGATCTAAGTATTCAAGTGTGGGTGGATTAAATGGATTGAGATTATGGTGGTGTGCCTCCATGAGAACATTCGCTGCTCTGGTTACATAAACATTTATAAACGCATTCTTGGTAACGAATGAATATTTTCACTGTTCTTAACTCTTTTTCTTTTATAGCTGTCTTCTCCTTCACTTGGATCTGAGATGTTTCGCTACATGTCTTCAGTGCTGGCCACCATTCGTTCTTCTTCTATGGTATGTTCTAGCAATATTTTGCCAAATTATTATGAAACCGTATCCTAGAGAGGTAACTAAATTGATTTATGAAGAACAATTGAATCCTTGACAAAAGTAAAATCAAGAAAAACCCTATGCGCAGATATTCGTGTACACCCGCGAATGCGCAATTATTGTGTTGAGGTCTATCTAAAGGCTGCTTTTCATCGCTTATGCGCTTCTCGTATAACGCAGAGTAGAAAGTGTTTTGCGATAAAGTTACTTAGTCATTAGAATGGCAATTTTGATAGCTTTTTTCGATAAGTGAAACAACAACATAAGAAATGGCCATGTTATTTATTGAGAATGTCCAACTATGATTTAGTGTCCTATTGTGGTGTGTTTGTTTTATAAACCATTACTTGCATAGGTGAGTGTCGCTCGTCTCCACGGCCACTGCTTAGGCGGCGCGACCGAGTTGGTTTCGTCCTGTGATATTCGCGTGGCTCACAAAGAAACTAAGGTGTTTCCAGTTTTTCTTTATCGAGATGCGGTGTAATTATTTATGTGCCTTATCTGTCTCTTGGTTTTTTGTAGATTGGATTTCTGCAATCTCGAATGGGAATTGTGCCGTCATGGGGTGGAGCGGCTTACTTAGAGTCCATAATCGGCAGAGGAGCTGCTTTACGTGTCATGACAACGGCTCCAATTCTTACTGCTGCTGAAGCAAAAGATATAGGCTTTGTCGATATGCTGTACGATACAGAAGAAGCCTTCGAGGTAGTTGAGCACTTATAGCTAACATAAAGTCGAAAATTCTGTGCATGAGTTAGTAGGACAGTAACGGAATGTTCAAGCTTCGTTAATTTGGATGCTTCATGAGTTTCGCTTCCCTTTTTAATTATGATGAATATATATTTTCTTACCGCCACCTTTATACAGTATCTACATATAACTATTGTCTTATTAAATATTGGATTCACCTCTAAAATTGCTTGGCCATACCACCACAGTTTATATTTTCGATTCGACTTCCTGTTCAGGAATTCGTAGCTTCAATGACGAGAAATGGTGTTGATGTTTGTAAAGCTCAAAAATCAATGCTTAATGCCTACAGAGAAGGAAATCCCGATGGTTAGCTTATTTTTGTTCTATCATCTAGTCGTCATTTCATCATAAAATAAATACCGCGATCTCTGCTGCCGTTGAAAATGCTCGATTCCAGCTGTTATTCGGTCTGTTTGGGGAGGACAAGCTCAGAAGGCGGCGATAACGAAGCAAATTAATGCAGTCGTGAACAAGAACTGATTGTTTTGCCCATTTCTGAGGGATATGTTTGTTCCTTTACTGTACGTCTCAGATCCTGCTCAGAACTCGATGCGGGAATTAAGCTTACTCTCACTCTAGATTATCATCACACTTATCGTGTTAATGCCACAACCTCAGTGATATGGGTCTTAATTCTATCTACTTTGTACTATTCGTTATCCATTAATAGTTAAAAATCCTGACACCTTCATTGGGACGGTCTATTCAACTAGCTAAGATTCATTTTTTAGAGCTCATCTTTTGTCTTCATATTCATCTAAATCATATTTCGTAATATTTGCATGGTTTTGCAGTCTTATGTTAATTCGAAAAAGTACAGATTTCAATGAAGTTTTTTTGAGTGTTGCAGGTTCACCCCTAACTTCGCTTTGTATAGTTCATAAATGTTAACAACAGTTCTGTGAGGAGTGTCTCAATACGAAACTTAAAACTTCAGAGAGAAATAGGAATATGAATGTGAACTTCACTAAGAAATCTTATGTCGAAAGATTTACATGATCGTGTGGGATGGCCATTTCTTGCTTAAAAGGCCAAAGGATGAAGCTCTTGGCGTTGATCAATCCCTGAGGGATGCATTCGAATTCACTAAGCATCGTATGGAAGTGATTAAATGCATATCTGGTTTTTTTTACAATGACTTGCGATGGCCTATCGATGTATCTAGCCAGTGCTGCTATCCTCCCAGACAAGTCTGGTACCAATTTGCTGACCTCGGAGGAACGGAACCCTTGGTAGGCTATGGGCGCGGTCGCATGAGGAGTATGCTTACAGAAACAGTTTGATCAGAACCTCGAGCCATTTTCTCACACTCTACACCAAATGTGTCTGTTTCTTTATGAATGGATCTTTTGCGTTTTCACATGGATGTGTATATGTCCTTTCCATTTTTTCTGATTTTTGATAAATCGCTGAAAAACTAGATGTTCTTTGATTCGAAACTCATCGCGAAGGCTAAGTCTTTATCTGGTGCAACTCTATCAAGACGACACTTCGTCTCATCCTTCACATGGTGTGCGTGTGGTGGACTCATCCTGAAAACATTCTGGTGAGATTAAGTTCATGCGCTGTCAAGGAAGAAGTTTCATCATTATTTTATCTGTTACGAGAAGTCACTGTTTTACTAAGCTTGAGCCTTTCATTATACTTAGTAGAAAATTCCATGTTATTTAATAGTGAAGGGCAATAATTCCGCGCCAATGTTATCACAAGACATTTTGAGGATTGGTTATATCAGAAATTGAAAGGAAAGCCATTGGAGGAGTTCAAAGGTGTCATATTCAAAAATATAACCTTTGAAAGGTTTGATGGTACAAAATATGGTTTAGGAAGCATATCTAATTGGAAATGATAAGGACTAGAAGCAAACTGATTGGGACATAAAGGAATGCATAAGACATTGGTGGTTAAAGCAAACACCATCGAACTTTGGAAGCGCCTCATTCATCGAGGGACGTCATACTGGGACAATTTTGCATGGCTCTAGTAACCTCAGTGGTGGGTACCCGCTGAGGTCGTTCTCAACGCTGCAGGGACGAGTTACAAGACACGTTTACGATCTCTAGAAATGATTAGCCACGAAAAATGAATAAAAGGCGAACATTGGGCCTATCAAGTAGAGAAGGTTAGTGCCAAGGATCTTTTATAGATATACTTTGATAGATGTGGCTATAAGGGCTCTTCAGAAAATTTGACAGATGTAAGATGAAATGTATGATCCCTCTGTTTCGACGATGGTATTCCTGTTCTCCCACCATTTGCTGGCCTTAGTACCGTATACGCACAAAAATAGCTCTTGTTTCTCATAAACCAATCTGAGCGTAAAGTGATTTAGATAGTTGCGCTATTCTAAAAAGATAGATGTACCGGAAGTGTTAGATTGAATTGGATCGACACTGATTCATCCACATCTATCTTACGCTTAGACCTGCAAGTCTTCGCAACTTCTCTGCTTGAACATCTTGTGGACTTTTCCTGAAGGTTCCAATGCGTCACTACCAGTTTTTTTAAATGTGAACACCACCCTCTATTGAAAAAGTGTAAAGATGGGGATACAAAATAGTCGATGTCACGATAGAGTACAATGTTCGTTCATTGGTACTTTATTCTATAACTCATGTAATATTGTACATTTCTAGGAATGTAAAGGTTGTTTGTCCTATTCAGTCACGTCGGTACTTTTTTTCTGGTTATGCTTTATACCACCGTATGAAATCTAAAAAAAATCTAGGTGATCGATTTGTTTCGCATAAATAGTACATTAGAGCAAATTTGGTTTTACAGAGATGTCTTCCTTCATTAGTGAAATCTGATTTTAACATCGCATTAGGGGCAACTGTGGCACAGGGGGTCGGAGGCGCCCTGCAACACACACATGGGATCGGTCCCCGCGCTCGTGCTCGGGTCGGTATCCATCCCTGCGGGTTGGTAAACTAGTACCAGACTGTTTGGGAGAATTGCAGCACTAGCGCACGGTAGGCACCACGAGTCATTACATAAGCCAGATATGCACGCAGTCACCTCTACAGTGCTTGGTGAAGTCGGAGGTATAGCACATCCCTCAGAGGTTGATCAACGCCGAGAACTTTGTCCTTTTTATCCTTATTAACATCGCACTGGAGAATACTATGACGAAACTAACTACATCGAAGGTTTTTCCGAGCTATCGCTTTCATCTCAAAGTCCATATTACGTAGGACATGTACACGCTGTACTAATTGTTCTTCATCATTAAGTTCGACTTGCGATCTCGTGGGAGACTTGATTGCTTCACCACTCCAACTCTACTAGTCCTCCTGTCTTTACGTACACCTCAAAGGTCTGAACCCTAAATATACAGGCTGAGGGGTAGGCACTATCGGGAGCGTAGGCAGTACACTGTATCATGTATGAAAGAAGGGTAGAATCGAAAGTTCTGACTCATGTCGAAGTTCGATCGAAGTTCTATCCTGCCATTCTACATGTTAAAAACTAGATCGGCAGCATAGAGCAGGAACTATCGACGACTTGATTCCGCAGCACTTCGAGCACACTGTGAAGACCAATTAGTACGTCAGTATTCGTTAAAACAGTAGAATTTACATGTGTTCCCTCAAGGCCGACGAGCAATAACTAGGAGTAGGCAGTTCATAAACAACGCATTTACTTCTTCAGAAATGACTTACACTTTTTAGATATTTGAGAACTTCACACATCAGCACCAGCACTGTTAGATACATCATATAAACTACAACTCCATTTGACAATCACTTTACCAAATGTTTTCACCTCGGAATTACCAAATCACTTATCACACGAACGAGATCAATACCTATTAAACCATAGTATGTTCTACGAGAACATCGTACATATACCTCATGGTCATTCCACGTTTAATAGGAGAATGAAAACACCTATCAAGTGCAGATGTATATATTTACTCGGATACTTGGACGGTCCGTTCTCACTGGTTGTGCCGGTCACAGCATAATCTCCATTTTTTGGAGGGTTTTGCTGGTTTAGCTATTGTTCTTCTGGAGTCCAGAGGTCAGCCTAGCCAATGTCTGCCGCAGGTCGTCACCACTACAGGCAGTCGCAGCCCTTGTGTATCAGAGGGAAATTTGCTATCATGCGACTAGTTTGATACCAAGACGGTGGTCGACATGGTATTGGTTTACTCTTAGCTGGGCTTCCTGATGGAAACGCCGGACTCCTTCTCAACTTGTGAAGCCTTGCCAAAGGTATAAATCCCTTCGCTGTACATCGCAGCCCGACACCTAGGAACACCTCCGAGCCACGATGAGGAGGTAGACGGTTGGGAGGGCAGGTATATATTATATATATATATATATATATATATATAAGGTTCTCCAGAAACTAATAAGCGATTACAACCAGTATTTTCAAATCGGTTATAGCCCTAGCGCGGCTATCTCTAGGATTGCAAGGAGATTCGACTCGACCAGCATTCTATGACATCTATCAGGAACAAGAATTCCTCAAGCAACATCCGAATTCACACGCGTATTCGAAGAACTTTGTGTACGGACGATCCAAGGAAACGAATGGAGGATCGGCAAAGTAGATGTGAATACGGATTACAAAAACGTACAAATAACGTAAATAAGCGACACGAGAGTACGACGCTATCTAGTCTCTTGTGCCCGCAAACAGTTCTCGTTGATTGCAGCTTTCCGTTTTGACGAGATAGCACACATGGAGTTCCAGAATATTCTTCAATAAGTCACATAATGGGACGTGTGTGGTGCAGTGGTCGGGGTGCCCTGCAATACACATGGGATCGATCCTGGCGTCCCAGACCCACTAAGTCCTCCGTCCCTCCGGGGTTAGCACATTGATACCGGACTTGTGTGGGAGGATAGCAGCACTGGCTCGATACATTAGTAGGCCACCGTGAGTCACCGTGATTGTAAAGGCCAGATATGCATTCAATCACTTCCAATGATGCTTAATCAAGTCTCATGCATAACTCCCTCTGGGATTGATCAACGCCAAGAGGTTTATCCTTTATCCTTTAAGTCATGTAATAGGGGCAAAGAAGCCGAGTGCAAACCTCTTCAGCTTATGAAACCACTGATTGCTCCATCCTTTGCCGTCGCTACGATGAATCGTGCTTATCGTACAGAATGAATGTATAAAATTAATACTGAAAGACACATTAAGTTGAACCAATAAGTTGAGTGGTAACGTGATCATTCCGGACTCCGATGGAGTTCGGGATCTGAAAAAACAGCAGGTATTGCGAAACAGATGACCCTATCGACATGCTCAGGTCGCACACATTCGGCACGAGCTCGATGACAGAATGCCATAGGGCTGACAGATTCGTCGGCAAATGTTTCGTTCGTGGATTTCATTTTCGATAGTACGGAGCAGTATTTCTACGGTAGAGGCGTCTGATGTATTCAAACCGTTCTTTTTCACTGTTAAATGTAAAAAGCTCTGTATATTTCTCTCTTTAATATCTATAGTTCGGTGGAAAATGTCTAGCATAACGATTGATTGATTGATTTGCAGCGTTGGTGGTGAGAGTGGTTTCATGGATTAGATGATTCCGTAGTTATGCTATGTGCTGTTCTCCTTTCTGTGTTTTCTGTGGTTGCTTCTGACATTCAGATACGTAACTGATCAGTCTTACCAAGTGATGTTACTTCTGTTGTCGTTCCGCTTATGATTCCAGTAATATTCATAGGTCGGACCATCGAACTTCTCTAAATAAATGGTCAATTACGAATACGTAGAAACGTTTAGAAGAATGGTGGCATTTTTAGTACTCGATTAATATTTTCTTCATCGTTGTAATTGCCTCCCAACGGTTTACCGCCGCATCGTGGCTGGGAGGTGTTCCTGGGTGTCGGGCCGCGATGTACATCAGGGGGTTTCATCACACCGGCCAGGTCTCCCAAGCTGAGAAGAAGTCCGGCGTTTCCATCAGGAAGCCTAGCTAAGAGTAAACCAATACAAGATCCACCACCGTCCAGGTATCAAACTAGTCGCATGGTGGCAAATCTACCCCTGATCCACAAGGGCTACGACTGCCTGTGGTGTTGATGGCTTTGGGCCGACTTTGGCCAGGCTGACGTCAGGGCTTCAGGGAACCGCAATGGCTAAATCAGTAAAACTCCGAAAGTGTGGGAATTACACTGGGGTCTGCACAACTAGTTAGGACGTGCCGTCCAAATATCCAAGTATCCAATTGTTGTCGTTGCTATCTATTTCAACCTCTTGAACATCCGTAATATTCGCTGTCACCTTCTACAAACAAGACATTTGCTCCTTGTGATCGTCGACCTCGTCCTAACCTACAGAGCTGTTTTCAGAAGGGTTCCGCAGTGTTCACAATGACATTCTCCTCTATGGAAACTGTGTATATCAGCTTGTGTTACACTGAATGGCCTTCGCCTGCTGGCAGATTCCTCCACTCCTCGTGCCTCTTCCATCCGCAGCCGTACGTCTTCACTATTAAACTTGGATTCCCATCCAAAATCGGGCGACCACTGCGAAATATTCAATCGGTGTGAACATTTGCATTTCTATGGTTTCGTTACCATCACCATCACTTTTTTATTTCATTATCTTTGTCATTTTTAGGACTACATAACTGTAGTTATTAATGTAACGGACAGTGGAGGTAGCTGCAATTCATTTTCCTCTTGTATTTTTCTTTATTCATTTTCTTCTCAGTGGTGTGCACTTGACCTTTGTCAGGCAATCGCGATAGTATCCGAGAGCGTTTCATCGTGGATGGCTCATTTCCGAATCGATCAGTAGCGTTGGCGAGAGAGCTTTTAACTATCGATTTCGCCGTTATTTGTGAAATGTACGACTTACCTACTGACCTGCATTAAGGAACGTTTTTCATGTTTTTAGGGACTATTTCGGACCACGGTGCGCTCGGTTCTGCAAGCCGTCTCCCACTAATTATCGTCACATTGCTTGCTCGTCGACCGGCGAGAAAATTTGTCTCGCAGGATGGAAAGGCGAGAACTGCAGTACTGGTGAGTCGCTTTAGTTGTATGATATGGTCGTTTTGAGAAGATCTGAACGTTTAGTGCAGGATGATGGGGAAGAAAATCGTGTGGCTTCGCATTTCGCACGCGTCAGGGGAAGACGAAGCACGTTGTCACACGCTGGAAAGCACACGTTGATTCTCGGCGGTATTTATAAGTTTATATATCTATTATATATTGATGGTCTGCTTTCACCTACCTCTGGCTGTCTCGTACGATGCTGAACCACTACTGGTTAGACAGGAGACGTCAGTCTGCTAGGTAAACACGACGGTGTGAATCCGGCTTAGGGTACCTGTGCTACTTATTTTAGATGATCGGGAAGTAACTGTAGAGGCTTCAGACTATTCTCCTCTCAACTACGTATTCGCAAAAAATTAGTAATTATGCGTAGTGCAAACCACCCTTTCTAACGGTTTACCGCCTCATCATAGCTGGAAGGTCTTCGGGTGTAGGGCTGCGATGTACAACGGGGGTATTCATACCCCTGTCACGGTCTCCCAAGCTGAGAAGGAGTCCGGAGTTTCCACCAGGAAGCCTAGCTAAGAGTAAACCAATACCAGGATCAGTCACTCTGCTGGTAGCAAACTAGTCGCATGGTGGCAAATCTCCCTGTGATCCACATGGGTAGCGATTGTCCGTGGTGGTGACAACTTGGAGCAGACTTTGACCTGCCTGACCTCGAGACTCCAGGGTACTACAATGGCTAAGCCATCAAAACTCCGAAAAAATGGAGGTTATGCTGGGACTCGCACAACCAGTTATGATGGGCCATCTAAATATGTAAATAAGTAACCACCAATGTTACTACTGAAAAAGGTCACAGGGTTTTGAATGAGCTGCAAGGTCGCGGTGCGTTAATGTTAGGCTTTTCCTTGAAAGCACCTTGCCTTCAATCGAACCATTGAAAAAGTAACGAAATTGAGCACATTATGAGTTCATATCGTTTTATCGCCCTTTACTGCTTCCTGCATACATCTGGTTAAGTGTTCTGAACTAATTGAGTTTTAGTTTTCTTCATACACTTTTGACTTGGACGAAATGAATTGTTAATTTTTCAGCTGTGATATTGTCTATAATATTTGTTGGGTACGTACTCTGTGCACCAAGTACGCAACCGCCCGGGGATTTGCAGGCTCTCTGTCGTCCTCTTCTGACCCAATGAGCAAGTTTTCAGTTGTATTTTTGCCTTTGCCACGTGTTTTCCTACTTGCTTAGGCTCATATGTACTTCTTCGTCAACATGTGCATTCGTATCTTTTTACGTTAACTGTTTATTACAACACCGAGTAATCAGTACAGGGAGATAACTGCGGGTTCTCTGTGCTTTTTTCCTTACTGAAAAAGGTACTGTCTCTGTCTACAACAAGCCACCTTGGATGTCGTGTTAATAGCCTTCAATACAGTTATCAGTTTCGTAATTCCTAAGCTAATTACCTAATTTGTTTTTCACAATATTTCAAAATTATTTTCCTATCAATTACATTATGCACTTACGGTTTCTGTGTTAGACTGAAATCCGTTGAGCGTTCTTAAATTAATGTGTTTTCTTTCCTCTTATGCGCATAATTAGTTTTTCTCATTTTTGGGGTATGTTGGGTTAAATGATTGCCTTAGAAATTCACAGGTAGTGAACTTCTTCGTGTTTCTTGTTCTTTTCTATTATTTAGTGCTGTTGTTATGAGCAAATGTGTTTGAAAACCTTAGGATACGAATGCGTACACTTTGGTTTCTACGTTTTCCCATGATTGGTTACTATCCCACATCATTTAATGTGCTGACTCCGGAGATTTAGTCCTGTTTATCGTGTGTTTCGACCTTTTGTCCCACACCTTGGTGGGAATATCGTAGTTCTAAGTGGCCGTAAGCGTAAAGTACACGTACCTCAAATGTGTCGGTGTGGTTACCACCTCAATGTGATGTGACAATGAGTGAGATATAACAGCGGTACAAATAAATTGATGTTTGTCTCCTTCGCACCCAACTTCACAACCAAGGGCCAGTACAGGGCCACGTGGCTTTCGTTATTGAACGAATGTAGTTGACTTCATTGTTATTTAGTTTCTTAATAACTCGAAAGACCGACTTTCTATAAACCTCGGCATAGATAGGTGATATATTTATTTATGTAATCTTATAAACTGATCTTAAACTGCGGAGTCCCTCACGTAACATCACGGCTTTGATGAAGGCGAAGTCGCCGAAACGTCAGCCATCGACCAACGATATCAAAAACAACGACAACGACAACGAAGACCTGTACAGACCTCGCGTCAGCTTAAGAAGATCAGTTTATAAGATCACATAAATAAATATATCAGTTATTTAGTTTCGTTTGTTCGTAACTTTTTTGAGGTTATAGGAATGTCTTAGTTGTATTGTTTTCACGATGTTCAGCAAAAAAGTGTATTCCTAATTCGATTTCTGGTAGACTTCTCAATTCTGCGTGCTATCTTGATTTCTTCAGCCTTTTTTGGCCATACACGGCGTCCAAATATATTTTCCAGTTTATGTATAGCCACATTCATCTGGTCGGTCTAGTACTGGTGGTCTTATTCGGAGCGGTCAGCACTGACGACCAAAGCGGTTCGTGTCATCCGCATGACTGTGAATATGGTGAATGTATCTCGGAGGTTTGATTTCCACTATTCATTTAGTCATGGTCATAGTACTCCCGTATATCCTTGATATAATTTCGCTGCTATACATTAGTGTAGTTTTGTAAATGGCTGCTCTTATCTCTCTAGGGCCCCTCATTCTCTTGCAAATGTCAACAAGGTTATGTTGGTCCGACATGTAATGTTTGGCGTTCGCCTTTGATAAATTGTGACGTTGATGGTTCGTCCATTTGCTTCAATGGAGGTGTCTGCAATACTACTGAGAACAGCTACAGATGTGTTTGCCCTTCGAACTTCACCGGTTAGCTTGTTCTACCAAATTAGTTGTCCTTTATATGACCACTGTTAAATTTGTTGCCTATGATAGGCTTTTTCTGCGAAGAAGACGTCAATGAGTGCTTGCTTTCGCCATGTGAAAACGGTGCTACATGCGTGAATCGGATTGGCAGCTACTACTGCATGTGCTCTCGTGGATTTAGAGGTGCATCCTGCCAGGAACGCTTCGAAGTGTGCTCAACTGAGTTAGTATTTAGTATTTATTGAATGTTTCGAATGTCACTGCCGTTTTCTCAAGGCCTGATTCGGTGTTTCTTGTACATCTTAGTGTTACTCCCTAGCACTTGTCTAAACGGTGGGCGGTGCATTGATGGTACTGGCGGCTACGTTTGCGAATGCCCCCGTGGTTATAAGGGACTACGTTGTCAAGATGTTAAAGACACTATTCGTGAAGAAACAAACAGCACGTGAGTCTGAAATTTTTTTTTCTAAATTATACTACGATATTTTGACATTCTCCACTAATGTCTCCAACACATTCATGACAGTGTTGGTTATATGTGACTTGTACAGGTGTAATAAAGGTATACATTATATAAGGTGAAATGAAGTAATGTGAGACACATATATTGTGTATTATATATATATTTTATCTGTCTATAAAAGTAGGAGGCGAATAGCACAGTAGTAGTGATGTCACGAGCATGGTGCTAGTTCGACTCCGCTCCGGACTAACCAAGCCTCTCATCCCTCCGGGGTCGGGAAATTGGTGCAGGATTTGTGTGGGGAAAAATTACTCTCATCAGTCCGATTGGGAACACTCCAGCCTAGCTATCTATCTATTTATCTCACTACAGGGAGAATTGCTTGACCAGCATTCTACGAAATTCAAGATGAAGTGAAAATCTTCAAGCAGCAACCGAGACTACATGTAAAAGTTGGAAGACCTTCGTGGGCATTGGATGTGAGGGAACGAATCGAATGTGAGAAGTGCTGAGATCCGCACAGTAGACGTGAAGACGGGTCATATAAAATAAAATAACAAAAATGTGTTTATAATGCTAGCTTTTTATTTTCTGCCTTCTACAATTTTTCATGGCAGGATATTATGCGAAGTACAACTACAGTGGTGATGAGATATTTGCAAAAATTCCGGGCCGCAGATGTATGCTGTGGGGAACGAACGCACTATTATCTTTTCCGGAGACTATATGTTTATATATCTATGCATGTTTATTCACATTTATGTATTACATCCTCCTAACAGTTTACTGCCTCGTCGTAACTGGAAGGTGTTGCTGGGTGTCGGACTGCGATGTACAACGAGGGGATTCGGCCCTCCAGCAGGGGGGCCTCTCGAGCTGCGAAGGAGTCCGGTGTTTCTATCAAGAAGCCCAGCTAAGAATAGGCCAATACCGGGATCCACCACTGTCCTGGTTTCAAACTAGTCGCATGGTGGAAAATCTCCTTCTGATCCTTAAGGGCGGTGACTGCTTTTGGTATTAACGACGTGTGCTAAGCTTTGAATAGGCTGACCTCGGAACTCTAGATAACCACAATGACTAAGCCAGCAAAACCGAAAAAGTGAAAACTATGCTGGAACTAGCACAACCAGTGAGAACAGGCCATCTATCTACGTAGGCAGAGTATGTATTATATATTTTATAGAAATATTGTATATATATCATGCGATAAAATGGTACAGAGATGTATATTATATAAGATAGAGTTGAAATTTACATATATTTTGAAAACTACGAAGTCTTTTTTCATTCTGGGACAACGATTTTATGAATTTCTGAGGCTGTGGGCAGTTTTTTTTCCCTTTTTTTTGTCGCTAGGCTCGTCTCCGTGGCAACGAACGGCTTTTATCGAAAAAGAAAAAATTGCACTGTTGCAAATCTGTTAATATCTTTTTTCGCACATTCCATTTTTGAGATTTGATGATGTGGCTCTGCATCCTGACTTCAAAAAAAAACTCCGGAAATTTTAGCGAACTTGTTGTGTCTGGTTGCGACGACGACGGAGACGACTGCTCCCGTACAACAAGAGCTCCTTTCGCCTCCTGTCCATCTTCATCGTATTGTTCTCGAGTGTTCAGGAATGCCATCTGTGATGAGGCATGTTTTTTTGTACACTCATTAAATTAGTACATGACTATGTCTAAAAGTTCACCTGTATAGGTGTGTGACGTTGAAGCGTGTATGTATGACGGATTCGACTGCATTCCAACGGAGTCAAGATGCCCTAAATCGATTTATAGCTACTGCAAAGAAAGGAAAAGCGACGATGTTTGTGATGAACCATGCAATCAAGAAGCTTGCGATTTTGACGGCGGTGACTGTAAGGAGACTTTTCCCGAGATAGTAAGTTTGAGTGACCGACTGCCTATTGACCTCGGTAGTGATCGAACAAATCTTTATATTCTTGTTTATCAAATGATTAGCAAGCAACAATATAAAAATTCTCTTTATAAGAGTCTTTTGTCCCATAAGAGACGAGACATCTTAGGTTTTGTGGCCTCTATTGCTGTTCACTGATTGAAACTTCTCTGCATTGCAGTTGCCAGGAGAAATACTTGTAGTCGTACAGGCAAAACTATACTATTTCATTGCCAATATTCCTCGCTTTCTGAGTTCACTAAGTCAGTTGCTTCGTGCCGACGTCCATATTAAAAGTGATGAGAAAGGGCCGATCATATTCTTGTGGAAAAGAGGAAAAGTTGGTGAAAGGATTACCATCGGGAAACAGGTAACGATTAACGAAATGTGTCCTAACATCCTTGCGTGACCTTCGATTCAGTTCCTTCCCTTTTTCTTTCAATATCCTTAATCCGAATATTTGTTTTAAGAAAAATCTTAATTCGATGGAATATCCAGAAATCTTAGTTTGCGTCGAGATTGATGTCTCAAGATGTGCCAACGAATGCTTCAGTGATATCGAAGTTGTCGCTAATTTTATCGAAGCTACAGGGAATGTGAGGAATGCTTTTAGTTCGTTTCCAGAAACGTGGGAAAAATCCGCTTTGTACAAAATCAGTCCAGTTTTGTGTACTGCAAGGAAGGCATTGAATTTTCAGGAATTTGCTGCAGTGAACATGTCTATCCGATCAGCTGTTGCTAGAAAACTCAAGGCTAGGGAATATTGGAATCTTTCATTAGTTGTGGTGATGACATGTATATCCATCGTCATCCTTTTCGCGGTACTTCTCACCGTTCATGAACGATCAAGCAGAAAGCGGAAGTTGATTGAAAATGCACCAGTATGGTTTCCACCAAAGGAATTCGAAGGCACGTTGGAATCAAAATTTTTATCCTATTTACTTTACGTTACATTCTTGTTAATAACTTCAGATGAAAAGCAAAGAGAACTCAATAACGAGAAAAATGGGCTGTTTGTTTCTCTGAGAGGCTCAAAACGGCGAGATATGGATCTATCGGGATTGGAATTACTTGAAAAATCACTGACCTCGAAACTGCCAAGGTTGGGAACTGTCGAGTATTCTCTCCTTTCTACCTAACGGTATCAGTTTTTATCGTACGCGTTTTTCGCAGATTTTCAACACTACCGAGGCCGAAGAAGTTGCAACCTCCGCCTTCGCAGTTGCATATCGAATCTGCTTCGGAATATCCAATCTCCTTTCCATTGTCGGCTGAAGAAGCAAATAAACGGGGTCCATATGGTCGAACTGCGTTGATGATACTAGCGAGAAATACTAAGAAATCAGAAGAGCAGTTGATTGACGACGTTACGAAGCTGCATGCTATTGGTGCCGACATGAATTTGTTCGATGACCGTAAGATTGCTTCAATTTCTTTTCTTTGTGTAAGATTTCAGAAGAATGAACTCATTCCATGTAGATGCAACGTGTTCATTTTTCTAAACGTTGCTTGTGATAACTTTTTAACTTACACAGCTACTCTTATAGTTGTCCACCCGGTTTGAATTAAGGTGGTGACACGGCACTACACATGGCTGTTTCATCCGGTCGTATAGCTCTGGTGCGCAAGCTTCTGCAGTTAGGAGCTTCACCCGTGATTCGTGATGGTACGAATTCGAACTGTTTGCATCTCGCCGCACGTGCATGCGCATCTGATATGATGGCGGCACTGCTGGAGATTGAGGAGATGAGGCAAGAGGTGCGTTGTGATTGACTTCGAAAGCATTCTTTTCTTTTGCGACCTCTTTGCTTGTGATAATGAAATATTGGCTAGAGCACGTCGTTTAGGTGGACGCAGTAGATGACAACAACAGAACAGCTTTGATGCTCTTAGCAATGCACGATAGAGTTGATGCAAAGGCGGCACAAATGCTTATTGACGCCGGTGTAGATGTTAATTATGGCGGTGATAATGTTAGTCGGTGAATCTGGAATAACGCACTTCTAAATGACTAATTTATGGAATTTTTACTCTCTGGAAGTGGCACTATTGGGTTATCTTTCCAGAATCTCGTTTCGTGGAATGGAAGGACAGCATTGCATTTCGCTTCAAAGTACGATAACTCCCAAATGGTTGCCTTCCTTGTGCGGAAATTGGCCGTCATTGACTGTAAAGATTATGAGGTCTTTAGTGGACCCCTATGTTTAATCTAGTGAAGTTCTCATTATTCCGTATTGATTGTCTACAGAACTGCACACCGCTCCATCTTGCCGCTGCGGAGGGCCGTGTTGGACCTGTGAAGGAGTTGATTAGAGCCGGAGCAAGTGTACTGATGAGGAATGATAAGGTTGGATGTGCTGCAACTCCGTACTTTATAAGCGTCGTCAGTTCAGGAAAAGTTCTCTGTAATTCGTAGGAAGCAAATTGTCACATTATACATTACTTTTATGTAGAGATCTTTCAGTACTGTCCCATAAGTTTCAATTAAGTTCCAAACGCCCTATGATGTCGCTCTCCTCAACAGTTGCCATAATGTTGCCGCTTTGCTTGTTTCGGGTGATAACATCCGTATCCAGCTGTATTCTAACAACGGTGAAATAATCACGAGTTCTTCGTCACCAAAGTGCAAGGTTTGTTCTATGCAGTCATCACTTCCATATAGTAGAGGAATAACTGTATTTTATCTTCTTCAGCATGCCAAAGTTTTGTTGGCAAGGGATACGGTCGCATTGCCACAATGTTCTAAAGCTGGAACAACGCAAATTGCATCATCAGATCCTATGCAGCAGTCTGTGCCGCCAACGGGACGCTCGACACCTTATATGCAACTTTTAGATAATGAAGGAACTCCTGTCAGTAGCAGAATTTCTCCTTCACATTATGAAGTAGTGCGGGAATGTTTCGCTTTGCCGGAAAGATCGGTGAGTTTGGAAACGACATATTATGTTGTTGTGGTATTTGGTGTTTCTACGGAAAATTTTTAGTTAGGTGAATATTATGTATATGTATTGTTAGCGTTCTGTTGTTTTTATTTTTCAAAACTGAATTCAGATGGAAGATTCCTCTGGATACGTTGATTCTGGATTCGACACTTTCATGGGTGCCAGTCACTATGACTGCGGTACTACATATGCATCTTTTAATAGATTCTTGAAGCCAGATGACTCTGTTGTTGCCTCGATCCCCTGACCTCATATGAACCTATGATGAATGAATGCTTCTGTGCTTCAGCAATTATTTTCTCCAGTAGGATGAACGGTGGATTGTTATGTTTTTTAGCTTGTTTATCACCTTTATTTCGATGCCCATGAGGGACTATTTTCTACTATAGGCTTGTAATTCAATTTATGCCTATGAATTTTATATTATGTGCGTAATACTACGTCGCGTTTATATGATACAAAGAAAGGACAACGTAGCATTTTGCTTAACGACTTTGTACAAAGCCAA